GTTCATTCGACGAGGTCGTCAACGGGTGAAATTAGATCATCCGCGACAACCCTCACCACTGACTTATTACATATGAGAAATCAAAGGTAGAGGTAATCGAATTTCCAATTATATGCGCCTCGTATTATAGCAGAGATGAGGTACAGAGAAGAGCTGGGGACGAGAGAGGGACAACCCGTGGGTAAAGCAGCAAAAAGCTATGAATTTGTGATTAACGACTACGCAATTTGCCGTCAGATTGATTAGCGCAAATCGTCACTTCATAAACGACCACATCCACCACCTATTTTACAGCTTTTTGGATGTGGATTAGAATCCTCGGTATACTCGTTACCTCCCGTAAAAACAGCAAAGAATTTGGCGCTTCATTGCTCAACAAAAATCTCGACAAAACGGTGACCTTTGGCAAACTGGGATTTTTCCCAAATGACTGAATTTTGCGTTTTTGATATGTAAAAACTTAACCAATTTTTTACACAACTTAGAGCTTGTCATGCGATTTTTGCTTTCTTACCTGATCCTACACTATTCTGGCTTCCTCCCTCTCTTAGCTTCTCAGATAAAAGTTGTACTGTTCAGCAAGTTTTTTGGCATTATCTGCCTGCCCAAATCGAAAACAAACCACCGCAAAAACATCACCACCCAATTCTCTATCTATCATACTTCCCCTCCCCTCTCCTCCACCCTCCAAATCGAAGTCACAATCGTTGCGATGATGAGGCAGCAAATAGTTCCATAAATAATTTGGCAGCAAATAGTTTCACAAAATTTATTTGACAAAGATCAGAGCGAAAACACAGAGTATTTTACTATACACAGCACTGGGACTTGGACGTCATCAAAGTGATAATCAAGAAATCCTATTATGCGATGAATCGATGGGCGACAAATTCGAATTTCTTTCATTAATGTTTTTCTTGTGAGCACATTTACAGAGATCAACGAGGTAACATTGTCTAAGTGTCGGTATGATGACAAACTGCTTGTCCTACATCTAACTAAAATACATGATACTGATAATCAAAGAAACACTGCAGACAAATCATATCACTAAGTGTTAGCGAGAGATCACAGGATAATGTCCGAAGATATTATTGTGTCACAGTAGGCAAGCTTTTTAAGCAAAGTTCAGTGAAAGAACTAATAAAAAAAAGGACAGAATTAGGACTTTTAAAATCACCCGGCAAACAGAACTTTATAATATGTCATCAAAAAGTTTAAGGCAGACAGAACGTATTCCCCGCCCGTTTCCCTTCCCCGCTGCTCCCCTTCCCCTCTCGCCCTCTGGTCTCCCATAGTTCACCGCCAAATGATTAGTTCTTCCATAGTATACAACCTTTATAACATAGAAGATACAATCTAAACATTTTCTAAGCGGTAAATATCACAGATATGATTCCTATCACATAAAAAAATTTACAAAACAGAGCAAAAAGTTACAAAAGACTTGAGTTTTTCTCATGCCCATTTTTTACAACCGATTACACAATGCGGGAAAACTTGACTCCTGAATACCACAGATGCCACCTAACTTAGGCCGCCATAAAGCGGGAAAAGCAACAACTGTCTAAACTACTGCCAATGAATGCGCCAGTCTGTCAACCTATTATTGTAAGGCACACTTTGAGAAATATTCAATGTTGCTGAAATTATCTACCATAATCCCAGCAAATGTTGATTACACTGATTTGAGATCGTCGTTTGCGGAGTAACGAAATTCGTAGGTTCATAATAACACTCAAAATCGAATCAATTTTTTACATATTCTTTGGACATTTAGTTAAAATAAATTACGAAAAAACGTTGACACTTAAATTATTCCCAAATTTCGAAAATTAAAATGAAAAGCGGAATAAGTGTTTCAGAAATTTTAAAGATACAAACAATGAATATCCCTGGCTAGGAGAATGGAAGAGGACGGGGGCCTGAAAACTTCTATATATTAACACATGCAATTTGTTTGGCGCTGCTGCCCCACCGTAGAGAGGAACACAATCGAATTTTGACAATTAATGAAAATAAGTTTAACTTTGTTAAAACTCCAGAATTTTTAGGACGGAATTAGTGAAAGGCAGTCAAATAGATCTACCAGCATCAACAGATCCCAATCCCATAGAAGATGCACGTTGACGCTGAAGCTGGATAAACACACGTGATGGCATGTCAGGTATCAGATAAGATATGATACCTTTCAAAGCCAAAACAACATGCTGAAATTAACATTCTTATTTATTATAAAGATTCGTATGTTGGTATTCCCTCAGTAACATTTTGAGATAATCATACTAATGCCCGAGCGGTTTTGGCATTTCTGATATTTACTGTAAAAATTCCATTTGGGAAAGAAAAGAAATATTTTTTTAAAGTCCTCATAAATGAATCTTTAACAACCAATTATTTATCAGAAGGAAAACTGGAGAATAAAATTCTATGCGTACCCTTTCCCCTTCATTACAAAAATATCGCTTTATGAGTATTTGCTACTCGTAAAAATGCAGAAAATAGATAAGAAAACAACAGAAATATCTATACTTACGGCAAAAACGATGACAAATCCAAATCGGAACGCCAAAACAACCCACCACATATGTGTTACACCATAGTTATCGTCACAGCCATCCCACGGAAACAAAGAGCATGGTGGTTTTCGAAAATCACGAAACCTACAAATTCATTTTCTGACAATTATATTTTGTCGCAGTCTGATAAGTTGCAATTCATAGCTGGTTTTCCAGTTGTGCGATTGGCAATTTTCTTAGTTGTTTTGACCAGGTTACTT